TAATGAAGTACCATCAAAGACAATATAGATTTTTGTTTTCTTAGATACTTTAGTATGTTTTTCGTAATTGTCTAGTGTTCTTGTCCTAAGTTGTATTAGTATGTACTCACAATACTAATAGCTTATACAATGTTAGGTTGAGTGCACAACATTACATGCATGATACTCGCTATGATTAATGCACAGGGAACCTTTTTCATGTCTTCCATCTCCTCATGGCTCTTAGGTGATATTCCTTTGGAAAGAGTGACTCCATGTTTGAAATGAATGAATCCCGTCTTAGAATATTGCATGTTGAATCTCTTAACAATTTTGACAATGTAAGTAAATTGTAACAATCCAATAATATTATTTGATCATCGCTTTCCGAGGAAGGGGTAGTTACTTTTGTCTCACATTTAAGTTTGGAGTAGTCCCTAGTTGATATAATTGTTTTTTCTTGAGTTGGTATTGGTGACATCTTTGCCCTTAATTTATGTTCTTTTTTTCATGTTCCTATTATTACTGTAATTTTTACATTGTCCAGTAATTGACTTTCATATTTTGATCATCCATCACTTTTCTTCCCTAAAAGTAGCTTTTACAAGTCATTTCTACTGTATTTTGGTTTCAAACAATTTTTTGATATCTCGCCTTTTGCATTATGTCCCTTATTAATACATTGCTTTTTCCCTTTTGATTAGTCACTTCAAAATATCCCTAGTAATTTATAATACGAAGAATTGTTATTTTTTCAATTAATCATATAATGTCTTTAAGTCCATCGTGGCAAATAAATCATTAACTTTCAGTTAATTGTCTAAATCTCCAAGTCTCTCATGACACCAAAGCCTCACACAACCTTAAAGTCCCTTGTGGTGAAGAAATCATCAACTTTTCAATTAATTATATTATTTCCTATCCACCATGGCATAGAAATCAATGTTTGTTCGTTTAATCATGTTAGTATCAAAAGTCCCTTATGATATTAAAGGCTCTTATAGTGAAGAAATCATCAATATTTTTGTTAATCATATAAGTTATAAAGTCCCTTGTGGCATTCAAGTCTCCTACCCTATGACATAGAAATTAGTGTTTGTTTCTTTAATAATGTCAGTATTAAAAGTCTCTTATGGCATCCGAAATCCCTTGTCGTGAAGAAATCATCAATGTTTTAGTTAATCATATTAGTTATAAAATCCCCCATGACATTAAAACCACATGCCCTATAGCATAAAAATCATTGTTTGTTTATTTAATCATGTCAGTATCAAAAGTCTCTTACGGTATCAAGTGCCTTATGGTGAACAAATTATCAATGTTTCAATTAATCGTATCAATTATAAAGTCTTTATGGCATTAAAATCTCTTGTCCTATCGCATAAGAAATAATGTTTGTTTATTTAACCATTTCGCTCATGGCATCAAAGTTCGTTATGACGAAGAAATCATTAATATTTCATTTGATCATTATTAGTTCCAAAGTTCCTTGCAGCATCAAAGTCTCTAGCCCTATGTCCTAGAAATTAGTGTTTGTTCATTTGATCATATCAATTTTAAAGTTTTGTGCCTTATGGCAATGAAATTGATGTTTTTCATTTAATCATCTTATTTTTAAAGCCCTTCGTAGTAAAGAAGTCAATTAATTTTTTAATTAACTTTTTTAAAGTCCCTTATGGCATCAAAGTCTCTTGTGTTAGAGAGTCCTATTTTATTTTTTAATTATTTTTCTTCTTTTCAAATTTCTTCGCAACATTAAAGTCCTTAGTGGCAGTAATTTTCTCCAAGAAATCATATTACATTAAAAATTAAAAAAACATAAAAATTATATAAAAGAAGCAACAAAAAAAAAGGAAAGAAGAAAAAAGAACGAAAAGTGCCAATAAAAAGCTTGGCAGCATGTCCTTTCCCATCCCCTAACATGTGGTAGCATGTTTAGAAACTTTGACCATTCCCACTATCTTGTTGACCTTTCAAATTTCCTCATCATCTCCAAGGAGCGCAAATGAGAATCACAGTTTAATGCATCATATTAATCATGCATCAACATTGCAAAGCTAATGCCACACACTTGAAAGCACAACAATTTGCATAGTCATTCGACTTGTTTATTGCTTCGTCAAAGTTTTCAAATGTAGATTGCTCTTGCATTGAAGGATGCTTTTAACCTATCGAAAGAGCAATTATGTTATATCAATTATAGGACCTTTGTCATCATAAGTGTTTTACTAAAGCCTTTTAAAATGTTTTCAAATCATTAAAAAGAAAAAGAAACAAAAGTGTGTGCAAATGTTTTAGGGTTGTGTTTTTGCGTGAAGTTTGAACCCTTTTATTAAGTTATTCTATTTGTTTTTTATGTTTTTCTTTACAATGAATAAACCTCAATTTTCATGAGATTCCTTAATACTTAGGAGGGGTCACTTTGCGAAGAATAAATAGCCTTCACATGATAGACCTTTTTGGCCTTAAACCTCCTCCAAGTCTATCATTCACAAAAATATTCGTATGCTTCTTTTTAGTCATTGTTGTTTCATATCCTGCTACCTACCTCACAATAAAGAGGAGCAATTATCATCACCCAATTTTTGCTCGGTTCTTTTCCCAAACCCTAAGTTATTCTTTAACACTCTATTAGACCATTCCAATATCTTTGAAACACTAAAAAACTCAAAGATTTCTAATCTCAACCTATAAACTCCTAAATCCGCCATTGAACCTATCTGATATCAATCTAACATACTTGGTTGAACCTAATTTACACCACAACCATCAAATCAAATGCAACCATCTAACTCAGAACCCAAAATACCCATTTTGGATCAAGCCTTAAATCCAAACCCCGAACTTTCACTAACCATTGACTAAAGATTCCATTTTAATGATTCATATTTATGGATACTTTTAAAGCTTAAAATTGCTCAATTCCATATAGACTTGTTCATGGATCGGGTAGCCCGATGGGTCGACCCGACCCGACCCAATATAAGTCAGGCTTGGACTAGATTTCAGGCCTGCGGGCTTGAGCTCGGGCCTAAAATATCGGGCCCGACTTTTTTCGGGGCAGGCTCGGGCTTTCTCGAAAAAGATTGGCCCAAGCCCGAACTCGACTTGATAATGTATTATATTAATAAAAATATATTTTATATAATAAAAAAACATATATATAATATTTTTCTTCTCTTTTTTCAAGTAATAATGAAACTTTTCATTTTAGGTTTTGAGGTCTTTTAGTATTAATAAAACAACTTTTAATTGAATTAAAAAGGAAAAATCATTTTTTTTCCCAAATTTCTAGTTGGGCTTGGGCTCGGGCATGAACATTTTCTGTTAATGTAAAGGCAAAGCCCAGCCTGAACCCGGGCCGGCCCGGCCCGTGAACAGGTCTAATCCCATCCCACTGATTACATTAGACTCTTATCACTAATTCTAAAAGCTCGTTCTCAGCCAATCTGCAACATTTCAGAGCAAAAATTCAACATTTGTTCTAAATATCAGTATCTCTGTACAACTAAGGATACCGAAACCTTAAACAGGTGTTGGGTGGGTTGAATGAATATGAGTTCAGCTTACAATAGTAAATCCTCGTTCGTCTAGCTTTTGAGCGGATGCTTCTAAAAGAGAAGGGGGAAAAAGGAAAGAATGTATAGGGAAGAAAGAAGGAGCAGCCTCTCATGGGAAGTAAAACATCATTTGATTAGTTGATGCTAATGGTAACCGCTAACCTGTGCATGAAGCTTTTCAGTCTCCCTGACCATGAATTCAACCAAAGAGCCTTGGAACCCCTCCATGGAGAACACATTATTATCATACATATCAGCATTATAACAATAATGGGTTCTTTCCAAAAGGCTAAATATAATGAATGAAAGAATGTCTTATGCTATCCAACGTTAAGCTTTCACTCTCGTCTATCATGTTCTTCCTCTCCAATCTACATAAAGAGAGGGATTAACATCGGAATGTGGTTGAATAGGTATTCTAAATACAGATTCCGATTAAACCCAATAGATGTATAGAACATACAGACAGATACACATTGTGGTTTTTGTATTCATGTGATGTTTCAACCTAATTAATTATTTTGGTAAGATTTGGTTGGAACCTCATGCTCAGGTGTTCAATTTCAAAAGTAGGAATTCTTGTGAATCCATGGACTTGTGTACATTTTCTTTCATGTCTTACTATTCAACATACCTCAAGCTCATTATTATTATTATTATTTTTTGTGGTTTTTGTTTGTTATGTGTTTTGCTTTTTCTCATTTGTTTGTCGTTTTTGTTTTTCATTTTTTCATACTCTCCATATATGCACCGGTTGTCAATGCATGTATTTGTTGAAAATATACAATAAATGGATTGTTGTTGAAGGTTTTTTTTTAATGGGGACAGAATTGGAAAATTTGGCTACTTCTGATTCCGGCCTCCAGTTGAATCAAATAGCAACAACAGGAGTCCAATTCCGATTCCTGATTAAACCAAATAAGCACCAGGAATACATGATTTCGATTCCGGTCTTGTCCGCAAACCAAACAAACCCGAAGCTTTCCCAAAGGTTGATCTACTCGTACCTCTGATTCCCCTAATTTGAACACATTTGATTTAATTAAACTCCGCCAATTCATGTAGAACCCTCATAAACCTTACATTGTTGAATTGTAACTCAAAATTTCTTCATCTGCTTTGTTATTAGACAAAGATTCTATTTTAAGCTTTTCCATGGGTCGAAATGCTCGTACCTCAAATTCCTTTGATCCAAGTAATATTGGACCAATCAGACTCCTTTTTCGCATCCAAAACACACAAAATCCCCACCCTATCAATTTTCACCCAAGAATACTTTTGTTTTTCCTCTCAACCAATCCGATTGGCTATACACACAAGACCACTCTCCACCCATTCACTCGTTAGCCCAAAAATCTCCTCCATATGATGGAAACCGGTTTGACCTCATTTTGTCTCAAATTGACTAAAATCTCCTCAAAACGGAAATACCAAAATGCCCCGGGTGTCCTAAGTATGGGGCTAAGTCTCTCGTCGGAACTAATGAGAGTCAGTTCGTTGCCTTTTTCATTCCTCTGATCTCAATCCTTCACTCTCTTTCCCATCTCCATCTCTCTCTCTCTCCTCGCTCTGTTCTCTCACACTCTTCTTTGCGTCCCTTCTCTCTCTATTCTTCTAAGAGTGACAATACCCGGTTTTTTTTTCTTCTTCAAGCGGTTTTCCTCTACAGGGGAAGAGCATCAAGTCGGCTTCGACTCAAGCATTATCACACCCAGAGGTAATGGTTTCTAACACTCTCAGTTTAAACCACTGATTTGAAGGCATATGATCTCTAAGATTCATGGCATTAGATTGAAATTGGTTTTGAAAAATATTGTTTTCTATCATTTGGTATATGGAACCTTTCTTTTTTCAGCATTTCCCTCCCCCATCTCATTTGCAATCCTCTCATTAAATGCGTTAGACATGCTTGTTTTTTGTTTTTTTTAAAGAAATTAGAGTCGTCGAGCTTCCGATGGTCGATTTTAATACCTGAGTTTCATTGGTAGGTGATCTTTGCGAGCCCGGATCTCCTGCCCACGAGAACCCTACCCACGTCTACCCACAACACACTACCCCCGTGAATTGGGAACATATCTCCCTGCATAATACTATGCAGAGGATGAGATGTTCTCCATGTGTTGCTGTGATGTGATAGACGTGGGCAGGAGATCCGGACTCGATCTTTGCTTGATTAATGTTGATGTAGTGCTTCAGGAGGTGTAAAAAAGTGGGACAAAATAACAAAATGAATAAAGAAAAAAATAAATAACATATATGCTAGTAATGACAACAATGAGAATGCTAGGTGAAAAAAAGAGAAAAAAATAGTAATACAAGAGGAAGTTGTAGGTTGGTGACGCATGGAGGGGATAAACTTAACCTCATCATCTCGACGTTGTTCTGATTTAGAGTAAAAAAAAAAAAAAAGAAAAAAGTGAAGAGAAAAAGAAAGATAAAAAGACAGCTAGGAAGGTTTCAAGCTGTTACTGGACCCCACCTCTTGGTTCTGCCAAACTGAATTTTGATGGCAGCAGCATGGGCAACCCAGGGCCCTCCGGTATTGGGGGAGTCATGAGGGATGAAAAAGGGAATGTGATAGCCATGTTTTCTGGGCCAATTGGAATAGAAAACTCTATGAGGGCTGAGATTTTAGCAGCTTTGGAAGGGATTCAAAGGGCTAAGGACTTGCACATAAACAAGCTGATCATAGAAGGAGACTCTGAGACTGTAATCAACTGGTTAAAAGAAGACAACTCAAGATTATGGAGCTACAGCAATGAAAAGAGGAAATTTAAATGATTGATCAAAGATATGGAAGTTCAATGCACATGGATAAAGAGAAGTGCAAATTCTTTTGTAGATGGCTTAGCTAGACAAGGGGTGAATAGGAGCTTTGTTTTTTGGGTGTCTAGTGACAGTTTTGGGGATTTAAGCTATTTTAGCTCCCTTTCTATGTATTTTCAATCTTTAACCTTTTAATGAAATCTCTGTTATTGATAAAAAAAGAAAAATAAAAAGAGTAAGGAGATTTCCCCCACGTTTTTTTATAGGCCATTTATTTAGATTGAAGAAGAGAGTTTTTTCCTTTGTGGGTTCAGTTGTTGATTTGTAAAAAAGTAATAAAAAGTATGATAATGTATAACAAAATAAAAAATATATAAAGGCGGGGAAATAAGAAATAAAAAAATAATAACATATGATAAAACAAACAAAAAAAATAGAATAAATAAATAATAGTAGATAAGTGAGTTATTCTCACTTTATTTCCTTACTATTAGTTTTTTTTTGTTATTTTATTAAGTGCTGCGTATTTGTGCTTGTGCTTCTTTGGAACCTCATGTGGGCCCCACCTATTAGAAGTGGGAGAGGAATGCCTAACCCCTTCCCTCTACCATCCGAGTCTTACTCGGACTGGTTCAATTGGTGCCTTGGGTTTGGAGTCACTATCAAGCTAAAAGTAATTTTGAACTCAACTCTTGGATGTCCCATCACCTCCAAGTCTTTCAAATGATGGGTGGTGACTCCAAATCAGCCTAAGTTAGCTGTTTCTCGATGCTTATGAATGGGTATTGGGGTGTGTTAGAACTTGCCATTATTTTGTTTTGGTTAATGGGACGGTGGTGGATTTCTTTTTGGCCTTGAGGAGTATAAGACAAGGAGACCCCCTCTCTCTCCATTCTTGTTTACCTTTGTAGTAGATGTCCTAGGAAGACTAATTTCTAGAGCTTATTCTACAAATTTAGTAAGAGGATAGAGAGTGGGTAGGGAATGGGTACCAATTACTAACTTGCAATTTGTAGATGATATGGTACTTGTGGAGGTGGTGATTCGAGTTGGATTAGGAACTTGAAACTTATTGTACAACTTTTTGAGTACATGTCCAATTTAAAGGTGAATTTTGAAAAAAATTGTATAATTGGAATCAATATGGAGGAGGATGAGGTAGTAGAGTGTGTAGGTATCTATATCTTTTGGATATTGGTGTCCATATGGCCTTTGAATTATTTAGGAATGCCCCTAGGAGGTAACCCCAAGAAAGGAGGTTTTTAGAATCAGTTGTAGAAAGATTTGAAAAGAGACTTTGTTCTTGGAAGAGGAATTATCTATTCTTTGGAGGGAGAGTTACACTAATTAGGTCTGCCTTGGCCAATTTGTCTGTCTATTTTTTGTTAGTGTTTAAAATTTTAGTGGTGCTAGAAAGTTGGAGAAATTAATGACAGATTTTCTTTGGGAACTAGGGGAGGAGAAAAAGAACCATAGGGTGAGATGAGAATTGGTAAGTAGAAGTAAGAAGTTTGGAGGCCTTGGCCTTGGGAATATTCAAAAGAGGAATTTGGCCCTCTTGGGGAAGTAGTTATGGAGATTTCCTTAGAGAAGGAAAAGTTGTGGGCTAAGGTAGCAGGTAATATTCATGGGTGTTGCAGATAATGGATGGGATGCTGGAATTCTGGCTAGGACTACAAGAGCTTCATCGTGGAAAGCCATCCAAGCTATTTTGCCTCTATTTTTGTGATGGATCAGGTATGATTTGCATTCCGATGACCACTTATTAATCTTCTGTCATTTTTCCAAATGTATTTGAAAGCCATCCAAGCTATTTTGCCTCTATTTTTCATTTTTGTGATAGATCAGGTATGATTTGCATTCCAATTACTAGGGCTGCAAGTCGGGCCAGGTTAGGTCAGGTTGAGGCCAACCCTAGCCCAACCCTAAGTTCTAAACCCCCAACCCTAACCTTAACCCAACCCAACCTTCAACCCAATCTACCCAACCCTAACCCTAACCGGCTAAGCCTAACTAGATTCCTTCAACCCTAAGCCAACCCAACCTTCTTCCCATCCCTTAAAATCTCATAAAACTATTTAATCTCAAATCTTAACTCACTTTTCACTATATATATAAATCCTATATTTTATTAGTATTTGTTTGTTGATGTTTTTATTGGTTCTTTTAGTACAATATCGGAAAAATAAGTGTTTGAAATGATTATAGTTTACTATGAGTTATGACATGATAGATCTTTTATAGGCATCAAACATTAGAGAGGAGATAAAGAATAAAATATTCAAAAAACATAAAATATGCTATTAAGGTTTTAGTCTTTTCATTTAGGATTAACTGAAGTGATTATCTTAAAAGAAAGACATGGTAGTATGTAGTGAGGACTATACAACTATCTTACATCTAAAAAATCAATGTATGATATATAATATTATATAACATATATTTATATATGACATATACTATAGAGTCGGGTTCGGGTTGCCCAAGGGGTCAACTCTAACCCAACCTGAAATAAAGTCGGATTCATGAATTTCAACCCTAACCCTAACTCGAGCATCAACCCGACCCAACCCAACCCGACTTTTTCGGGTTGAGTTAGGGTTGGCTTCGGGCCAACCCGACCCAAGTTGCAGCCTTATGATTACCACTTATTAATCTTCTGCCGTTTTGCCAAATATATTTGGGATTTGTTCTTTTCTTTGTTTGGGTGTAGGTGGACTCCTCTGCTGGATGTGTAAAGTCTATTTGCCTCTACTTTGTTCAGTTGACCAATGAAAAAAGGGAGAATCATGTGGAGATGTGTAAGGGCTGCGGTCTGCTGGACTCTTTGGGAAAAAGGAACTCAAGAATCTTTTCAAATAAGGAGAGAGGACTACAAACTATTCTGGAGGTGATTCACATTAGAGTGGTGCATTGGCTCAAGTCTTTGGAGTTGTTTAAAGACCTCTCAATTGATGATCTGCTAAGGAATTGGAAGGAAGTGGCAAGGTCAGCTCTAGCTAAGGAGACCTCTCTACATACTTGGACCCCCATCCCAGTGGCTTTGCCAAGTTGAATTTTAATGGAAGTAGTGCTAGAAACCCTGGGTCTTCAAGCATTGGGGGCATACTTAGGAATGAGGAAGGAAATGTAATTGCTCTTTTTTTTGGATCAATTGGAATGGGTGATTCTCTTTGGGCTGAGATTATGGCAGCTTTGGAAGGAGTACAAAGAGCCAAGGATTTGAACATTAATAAATTGGTTATGGAAGGAGATTCTAAGTTGGTGGTGGGTTGGATGAATGAAGATATAACTGATTTTTGTTTTACCAAAAAAAACTGGTTTTTGGAGCTATGATAATGAAAAGAGGAAATTTAAGTGGATGACAAAGGATATTGAAGTAAAGTTGAAGTCAGTGAAAAGAGGTGCCAACTCCTTTTTTGATGGCTTAGCTAAACAAGAGGTGAGCAGGGGTGCTTTCTTTTGGGCTCAATCGTAACTTTTGCATTCTAGACTTCTTGGTGGGAGAGTTAAGAGAGCTTATCTCCACCCTTTTCTCTATACTTAAATCTCCTTACTTTTTAATGAAAGTTGCTTGTTATTGATAAAAAAAGGAGAGAGGAGAGAGACATAGTTGCCAAGGCGTCACTTAAGCAATACGAATTTTATAAAATAAAAGCTAAGATTTGGTTAGTTCCCTAGTATTATTATATACCAATTAGCATGTATATTAATTGAAAAATAGACAATTCTCTTTATCAAGAATACTAAAATTCCTGAGACTATAGTTGTCAAGGCGACTAGGCGAGGCTAGGCGACCATGGGGCGCCTAGGCGCCTAGGCGATGGAATCTATAAATATAAAATCTATAGATTTCAGCCATATAATCATATTCTTATGTATTAATGATAGGTTCAGCTGTTAAAAACTTAAGTGAGAAGTGAGAACAATGACTGAATCAGTGAAGGGAGG